TGGTGCAGTCACTTGCCGTCCCTTGGTGCAAGCCCGTGTGACCGCACAGGATGATCTGGCCCAAGAACTTGTCACCGCACAAAATGACCTAGTGCAAACACTTGTCCGACACTCAGATGACCTGATAGGACACTTGTGGGGATTCAGATGACCTGATAAGACACTTGTGGGGATTTAGATGACCTGACAGGACACTTGTGGGGATTCAGATGACCTGGTAGGACACTTGTGGGGATTTAGATGACGTGAACGCCCGCGCATCTGTCTCAGCATCCAGAACTGTTATCCCCGCACACTCTTCTAAGTCGCAGGCGTCGATGGAAATGAAAGAGCTGACAGGTTGGCTGGATCCGCTATCACTACCGACGGTCGGCCTATGGATCATGCTGATATTATCAATGCCCTCAGAGAAATGGGAAGGATAGAGGACTTTGGTGGCAGTGAATCCACATCACTCGCCAGAATGGCAGACTTGGGAATTAAGATCGGCACAGCAAAAAACGAGACGCACACCGGACACGTCAGAAGACTTGTTAATCAACATAGAACTGGTACTATTAGCCATCGGACGTTGGGATTCATACTGAGGGGAGGATCTGAGCACCTATGGACATGTCCGGAGTGCAATGATGATAACCCAACTAACTAACTAACTAACTAACTCTTCTAAGTAGGGGGCTGCATGGTGTCCACCTCTAATGCTAGAGGTTTTGGGTTCAGTCCCCGGTAGGGCTGGGTTTTTTTTTTCACTTGAACTTCTAGTAATTCCAGCTGGTCTCTTAATAGTGAGATTGACGCCCGTGTGCATTGTTGCGCACGTAAAACAACCCCTTGGCAGTTGGAAATCGAAAAGATTAACCTAACGGCGCTGAACAAACATATTGAGTTAAAAATCTACCAAAAGTATTCCAGGATCCTCGCCGGTGCTACAGAGCCTGTGCACTGTGCTGAGCTTTTCGGACTCAGACTTGAGTTAGAAGAAAAATATAGCACTTTTGGCAGGTGTGCCATGATGTTGATCCGTTGTTCAAACCTTTTCCAAGTTCTACAATAGTCCACGCGTTGCTTAACCTACATCTATCCTATGCCACATACATCACGTTAGGGAAGGGAGCGACGATGGAAGAAAGAAGATAGTGCTATAATCTGTATTATTTATAGGCACGGCGTCACGTTTATCCGTACGCCCTTGTCTGCGACCCAGCTGCGTGCTAACACCACGTTGATACGGCTATTACCGGCCGTGGCAGTCACGCACAGGGTACGGCTGGTAAGGCAGTGATAGCGATGTTCCGAATTTAGAACCCGATCGTTGGCGATCCTTCGTCTGACAAGCAAGCTACTGGGCCTGATTACTGCAGCAGCAGATCCTGGCCTTATTGATTTGATGCTTTGCTCTTTATTGATCGTCGGAACCATGCTGGGGGAGTCTGTCGGCGTGGAGCTACTGCGCTGATTTGGAAGCGCTGTGGCGTGGGGGTTCGATCACTAGTTGTGAGGTGTTCGTTATCTTTTTGTAGCAGACTTCTGCGTCTTCGCTGTTTACTTCTTTTATCCCCCATACTCCGTTAGAACATAGGCAAATAACTAACTCGCCAAGTGAGGTGTAGATTATCTTTTTGTCGCAGACTTCTACGACGACCACTACTACATCTACTACTACTACTACCACCACCACAACTACTACTACTACTACTGCCACTACTACTACTCGTTATCCTCCTCCTCCTCCTTCTCCTCTTCTTCGTTGTTAACTTCACCTCCCCCCTATACTCCAGAGAAGCATATGCCATCAACTAACTCTCCAAGTGGTCGAATCCTTTGTCATTAGATGCAGTTTCCCCCGTGTGGGTTCCGGGCCCCATTGTGGGGAAAACAAGAATAGACCCACTGCCTCCCCAAAAGCATGTCGTAAGAGTCGACTTACTGGGGAGCTTCCTTTGAAGTCGGAGTGCATCTGCCGGAGAGGCAAGGAACCAACAGTCTGTATTCAAGAGAATGAGATCTGTAAAACTGATGCACACGCAACACTCAGGTTCTGGAGCAGGACTGCAGTTCAGTAGTGGACGAGCAATCATAACTTTCCGCCAGAGTGTACAGCTGGTGAACCCGAAGAAGAAGAAGAAGATTCTGTTTGCTCTATGTTATCCGAATCTAATTGATCTGCCTCCAGTTCTTTTCACCTTAGGCCTTTATTCCGTGGGAGGGGACGGGGGTCCTTTTACTAGTTTGATCCCGTGTGTTCCAGCGTCGGCACACGGTAGATACCATTGTCAACGTGTTCTGTAGCAAGCGATTATCTCATAAGCGCCCCCCCCCCCCAATTTTTAATAAAACCGTTTTAGTTATTCTTCACAGTTATTCTTCAGCATCGCTATTTTATTTCCCTAAATGATTTTGTGACCCTTCACTCCAGTTTTATCTGCTACTCTGTATTCATTCGTTCATTGATCTGTATTGCTCAACCTTTACTCTTGTTTAATGTGATCGATTCCGTCTTCAAGCATTTCTCATTTCGATTGTTATTTTCAGTTGACATTTTTCCGGCAGTGTAAATGTCACGTTAGTTTGTGAGAGATTCGCGAGGATTGCTTGTTTGAAAATGATACGCTACGCACACCGCGCATTATCTCCGCATTTTGGGGCGAGGGTGAAATTCGATGGAGACTGTTATTGCTGGGGGGACCCCTTGTGGTAAATGAAGTAGCACTAGACACAACAGTATAGGTATTAATGAGCACTCATAAATATAGAGGTCGCTATAGCTTTCTGGAGATTGTAGTAGAACGGTGGCCTCGGTGTTTGCCTGCCGGTCTGAAGATTTTGGGTTTGAATCTGCGTAGATGCGGATTTTCTTCTTCGGTTCTATTCTTTGAAAGGGCGGTTGGCACCCTGTGTTGTGGTTTGCAGCTAGGCTGCGGTAAATACGCATTTCTTCCCGCCTGATCCGATTTAAGCAAACTCCTATTTAATTGCCTTCAACGACAGTAAGGGGGATCGCCCCCACACCCCCACCCCACACACACCCACACACACACACACACACACACACACACACACACCCACACACACACACCCACACCCACACACACACCCACACACACACACACACACACACACACACACACACACACACCACACACACACACACACACACACACACACACACACACACACACCCACCCCACACACACACACACACAATTCAGGCCTGGGAACCCACACTGGGATTATACGGTTTTTTTCTCAAGGCTATTAGACTCCATTTAATGTATGTAAGAACAACAATTGAACGTAGAGTGCGTTCGTTACTTGGGTTACTATTCATATGTCCTGTCAACTGTATCTAAATATGTTTTTTTTAATTATGTTTAAAAAAAAAAGTTGGGGGGGGGGGGTGTTTCCCTGGTGAACTGGTAGAACCGACTGCCTCACTCTATACCGTCGTGGTTCAGTTTCGCGGACATGTTGTTCAGCTCAGAGTGCAACTTTTACGTAGATTCCTGAAGATCGCCGCTGGAGCTACGGAGTTCTTCCTTTGTGCGACGCTTCCGGCAGGCGGCTAGCGCTCTGCGGAGAGAGGCCGAGCCAAAGGGGGGATGACCCGAGACGGTGCAGTCAGTTCAGTCGACTTTATATCATTAATTAAAGAGGTAATCAAATGCATCCTGGGAACCCGTTGCTGGTCTCAGCCAAGATGGTAAATATGAACATTCATATGCGGGTGGGTCGGCGTCTGTGGCTTGGGCCTTGCTCACTGCCTTCTCTTGCACAAGAACGGGAATCCCCGTTGACCTGTTAGGTCTATAAATAGAGAAGGCCGTGGCCTTGCTAATGCACTTCGTAATGCCGGGGTGCCAAGTTGGATCCCAGCTGCGGACGATTTGTCTTGCGCTGCTTTCGACAGTTGTACCGAGAGCACACCGTTAGGGAGCAGTGGCAAACTATTGAACGTAAATTTGCCTAGAAAAACCGCGACAGCCAAAAAATGCTGGGGTTTGGTTCCGCAACGTCATGTAAAGGATACGCTGTTAACTTTATATGCGGGTGTACAAATTGGTATTGTCAAGATCTGGTTGTATGCTTAACTACCTCAGCTTCACGGCCACATCTGGTGCCAGTAACAGATGGCGGAGAGGACACTTAGGCAGGTGCATCATTTATTGCTTTGGGGTGGGGAAAAAATGTCACGTTCTGACAGCATCCCCGAAGGGGAAGCTTTAGGTTATAATTATGACTAGGTTATGTGCGCCATATAGAATGGTTTAGCTTTGCATGCTAACAAGAGCCCTGAAAAGGACTCCTGCAGTGTGGATGTGATCAGAGGAGACAGGCCCAAATATTGTCACGACCGGTGACGAAGTGGGGAGGACACTAACGGTTTTGTTTTGTTTTGTTTTAAATGTCTTCATCATCATCATTGGGTCACCTGTGACTGTTGACTTTCTTATCAGCCCCCTCCACCTTTGACGAAAACATGCAATAGACTTCATGGTTACATGTCACATGTCAGGTCCAGTCAGTCAAGTTCTGTAGCCATGTCTTTCTTGGTCTGCCTCTTCTTCTCTTCCCCTCTACCGAGCCCTGTATTTTTTATTGTAAAGGATCCCCTTCACGCCATTGGTGCATCGGACAAATAATGACTTTTACTTAGTAGACCAGTCGGCACCACACCGATCGCCTTTGCTTCCAGTGACATTACACACTACCCAGTTCAATCTGCGTCGATGTGGTAAGCAGGGTCAGTTTGAAAAAAAAAGGGGGTAGGGGTGGCTATCCTCCTCGTTTGGAATTCAAACTGAAGTTTTCAGTCCCAAACAACCGAAAATTTCCCGCACCCTTTCAGTGCCCCTGTATCCTTGTAACTTCATTTGCAAATTTTTGTAACTGTATATGTTCACTCATGTAACTTTATATGCTCGTGCTTGTAACTGTATATGTTCATTCGTGTAACTTTAAATGCTCGTGTTTGTAACTGTATGCAACCTTTGTTCCCGCAGTGTCGGGAGTTTGTGAAGGCCGGAGCACTCAAGGGAAACAACCCGGCTGACGTGGTCCAGTCCTGTGACATCACCTTCACTTGTGTGGCTGATTCCACCGCTGTCCGCGATGTAAGTAACGTCTCTGTGCTGCCATGTGTGTCATTGTGCCATTATTTGTCACTAGGGCTTGCATCCTTTCCATTCTGTTCTCAAAGTTCCTAAGCCTGCAGGTTCTTGAAGCCCCTAGGTTTCTAAAGCCCCCAGGTTCTTGAAGCTCCAATGTTTCTTGAAGCCCCCAGGTTCCTGAAGCCAGGAGGTTCATGAAACAGCAAAAGGTTTCTTGAAGTCCCCAGGTTTCTGACGCCGGCAGGTTTCTAAAGCCCCCAGGTTCTTGAAGCTCCAAGGTTTCTTGAAGCCAGCAGGTTCATGAAACAGCAAAAGGTTTCTTGAAGTCGGCAGGTTTCTGAAGCCGGCAGGTTCCTGAAGACCCCAGGTTCCTGAGGCCGGCAAGTTCTTGAAACCTCAAGATTTCTCAAAGCCCTTAGGTTCCTGAAACCCCCAGGTTCCTGTAACCTCCAGGTTTCTTGAAGCCAGCAGGTTCCTGAAGCGCCAAGATTTCTTGAAGTGCCGCCGCCACCCCCCCCTCCCCCCCACTCCCATCCCAGGTTCCTGCAACCCTGCTATCAGATCAGTCTATTGTGGAGAATACTTTACTGTCATAATACTAATTGAACCGAAGAAGTTACTTCGTCTCCACTCATCAAGGACTTTATAAACCTAGAATTACCAGATTATTGCCATTTACTAAACCCTTACTATACTATTTACTATCTACTAAGCGGCCCTAAATCCTCAGGCTGGCGGTACCCCATCTTCCCCTGTCTGCGCCTTAATAAAAAGTGGTACAGACACTAGTGACAGAAATGTACTGTGTTTCCCCAAGTATAAAACAGTCACATGTATAAGATATGCCATGTTTTGGAGACTGGAAATTTGTAAAGAGAAAAAAAAATATGATTACAGGAAGTTTCTCATGTTTTTTTTTTTTTTTATATTATAGGTTCTAAAAGTCTCATTCCTATGATAGTTCTTTAGCTAATCCTTGTCTTTGTCTGAAGATAAATCTCTGTCTTCACATATGACCTCATCCTTAGCTCCATCTATTGCAATTGAAATGCCACACTTCTCGAATGACTTGAGAATGATCTCAGTCTTCACATTATCCCAGGATCTTTTCATCCAGGTACCAAAAAATCTATGATTGCTTTCTTCAGACTACCTGCTGGTGTCAGGTTGTCCCCAGTAGACTTCAACCAGTGGTTCTCTGTTCATCACTTTTGCAAACTTGCATTCAAACTTGCACAAACATATCTTTTAACACATTATGGGCAAAATGTAACTTAATGTAATGAATGGCAAGACAAGCAGAAAACCAGTTACAGCGGGAAAGAACTTTTAATTTTATTTATTATTTTCCATTTTATGTTGCCCCTGAACCAGCATTCCCAAATAAATCCCTGGTGTGGGATATTTTCTAACAAATTATCTGGTTAATATTGACTACAGTCTTTAGTCTTACTAGGTGGCTGAACCATGTCAGTATAATCCAGACTGTCTCACTGTCTGATTGACTGTGTGGATGAAAGGCTGATTGATTGGGTGGATGAAAGGCTGATTGATTGTGTGGATGAAAGGACAATTGCATCACAGTGTCAAACACTGTTTTTAGATAAATGCATCTTATACTTGGGGCAGCCACAGGTAACAACAGTTGTAAGACAAAAACTGGCTCTGTGTTGGATACTTCTTCTTTGTTCACTGGCTGTAAGTAGGTAGAAGTAAAGGACCCTTTTCCACACCTTTAGGCGTATAGGGCTAGACCTGTATTTTATAGACCAATAAGCACAAGATGGGTGGTGTGGTCAGCATTATGCCGGCCGCCTTTACTTTCCGGGTACTGCACCCGGTACCCACTCAAGGCTGGGTCGACCTGTGAGCCAAGGTCACTGGCTGTAAGCTCTGGCTAAAAGTCCTGGTTGTTCATCCATTTGGACTTTGGCTTTGTTCCAGAGCCTGATTTGTGCATGTACTGGCTTATTTGTGTGTAGTTGGTTGTTCCTTGCCGCTCAGGCAGACCGCACTCCAACTTCAATGGAAGTCGCTAGTTAGTCGGCTCCTATAGCATGCTTGCTGGGAAGGCAGTGGGTCTGTTCTTGTTCCCCCACAATGGGACCCCGGAACCCGCACAGGGATGTATTGGACACATCCTGAGAAGAACCAGTTTTTTCTTCTTTTCAAATTGATGTTTCTTACTCTGTGGTTTATGTAAGTCACTGTGCATAATGTAATAACGGGTTGTTGTTTGTTTTTAAACAGATCATGTTTGGCAACATGGGAGTCCTTGATGGAATCTCCAAAGGGAAGTGTTATGTTGAAATGTCCACTGTGGATGAGGAAACGGTTCAGGATGTAGCAGATGTGAGTGAACAGAGAGGAAGTTCAGAAAACAATCAGATCTCTGCTGTTTTTTTTTTTTCTGTCGTTAACTCTTTCTGTGCTAATTATCTCTCAAATCTGAGGGTTAGGGGTGGGATTCCAAGTTCTTAGAGAAAACAAAAGATGGACATATAATCAAACTATTACTGGTACATCAGCATTGCAACTGTTCGCTGGTTGCTGAAGATGGGGATGGAGCACTTATGGGAATGTCCTGAGTGTTGTGATGTCATTGATAACTTGACTTAACTATTAATTCTGAAATATTCGGTTAGATTCAGCTGCAGGCGATTCTGTACTTTGCTTTATTGATTAGCGAGGATTATCTTTACAGGTCCATAGTGTGTGCATGGGGGTCTTTTTTTTTTTTTTTATATTGCATGGTTTGCTTTTTTATAGTATATTTTTTTCTTTTACATTGTCTTACATACTTTTTTTTAAAATTATATTAGGTTGTTTTTTTCTTTTTTATCTTCTGGTTTGCTCTTTTAAATAGTTTGATTGAGTCTTATTCTACATGATCCGAGCATCGAGGAGAATTGGCTCATAAACAGCATCCTGGCCTGAAAGCTGGGGTACTTGGGGGCCATGTTAAATGTCAGGATGGTCTGGCGAGAGTGGCGAGGAAGAGTATAGTTGCGGGAAACCGAGACAGAGAAAGACCTCCATGAAGGTAGATACAGGACATTAAAGATGCCTTGACTACGAAAGCACATAGGGCTGGAGAATTGGCTAGAGAAAGAGAGACTCAGGCATGCTGTAAGGACTTTCTTATTGATGTTGATAATGATGATTGACACTTATATGTTGTCTTCTTTGCAATTTATATTGCCATGTATGTTCTTTTACATTGTTTGGTTGACTGTATTATGTTGACATGTTTACATTGTATTATTATTATTATTATTTTTTTTACTTTGTTTTTAAAATATTGTCTGGCGTGTTATTGTAAATTGTCTTGTTTCTGCTTTCACGTTGTCCTGGTGCTGATCTTCAGTCTTGATGTTTGTTCTTTCCCAGGCTATCATGGCCAGAGGTGGTGCCTTCCTGGAGGCCCCAGTCTGTGGGAGCCGAGTACCTGCTCTAGAAGGGCAGCTGCTGATCTTGTGTTCCGGAGACAGGAAGCTGTTCGATGATTGTTACTCGTGTTTTGAGGCCATGGGCAAGAAGTCATTTTATCTGGGAAGTAAGTTGGTCTGCCATTCTGCTGCTTCTTCTTCTGCTTTCGTTGTCTCACTGATACCAGGTTGTAGCCCAGTGTCGTGTTTTTCTGTATTTGTTTTGCGCTTCTCGGGTGGCCTCAGCAATGGATTTTTTCATCTTTTTCCAGGTTTCTGCTACATCATTTATCCTTATCTTTCATGGTCTTTATCTTGCCTTCATCCCAGGTGTTCTGCTGTAAAAAGTTCCATGTAGTTTGGTCTGGCTGCAGTCTTAACTAGATGGCTGAAAAATGTCATTCGTTGTCTGTCAGTATTATCCAGACTGTCTGTCACTGTCTGATTGATTGTGTGGATGAAAGGACAAATTTATCACAGTGTGAAACAGCCCATTAGCGGTGCTGTGTTGTCCTCTTGCATGCAGGTCACAGTAAGAGGTGATTGAGCATTGCTTTAATTCTGAATCAGCAGCTAGAATTGCATGTGGGGAAGGGGTACAGCCAAGGTTTTTTTTCCGAAGAGAAAATTAAAGTGATAGTATTCACCACAAAGCTTCTGAAAAAAATACTGGTGCTCATCACAGTACATTGAAAGTCGCGTAGCGTTGGTGGCTAGATGCCAGCCTGCCGATCGGAAGGTCCTGGGTTCACGTACTGATGAAGCCAAATTTTTTTTCCTCAAAAATTACCTTGACTCCTAGGTTGACCCGCCTTGAGTAGGTAGCAGATGCAGTCCTGGGAAGTAAAGGTGGCCGGTGTTATGGTGACCACATCACCATCAAGTGCCGATTGCTCTGTAAATATTTAGATCTAGCCCTATATTCCTAGTATGCCTAAAGGCATAGAAAAAGAACCTTTACTCATCACAGTGTCCACTACAGTGTCACTGAAAAAAAAAATTATTTCTGAAAAAGATGTTGATACTGCCTACTCCTGTATACTGCCAGACAAAAAGCCCTGGGTTCAGTTCTCTAGCGCAGACCTAATTTAATTGACAGTGTTCCTGGTGTAGTGGTTAAGCTGTTTATCGTCATCTCTGAAGTTGTGGATTCTTCTGAGGACTGCATCATTCATTTCTTGAGAGCAATTTTCTCCAGAGTTTCATCCCTAGGGAAATCACTGGAGCTGTGTGTGAGATACTCTCTGCACCTGATCAGTCACTTTGTGGGAAGAGAACAAACCAGATGAAATAATATCTTGGTGCTGTGAAGACTGTTCTGTTACCGGTTTTTGAATTATTATTTGTTTAAACTAAACCCAAAAAATGAAGAAAGATAATATATTCCACACACATTCTCTCTCTCTCTGTCTGGCTGGCTCTCTCTGTCTCATTCTCTCCCTCATTCTCTTTCTCTCTCTCTCTCTCTCTCTCTCTCTCTCTCTCTCTCTCTCTCTCTCTCTCTCTCTCTCTCTCTCTCTCTCTCTCTCTCTCTCTCTCTCTCTCTCATTCTTTTTTTTTCATCAAATCCTGGAGTGGTTAATCAGATGGCTAGCCCATTCAGATCATTATCATCATCATCCTGTAAAACTACTTGCATTGGGTCACCAGTTTCTATTGACTTTCTGATCAGCTCTCCCCACCTTTGGTAGTCAATTGCTATGGAATTCATGGTTACATGCTTTTTTACAGGCAAAATTTTATATTAGCAAACATTCCCAGAAAATGAAAATATTTGTAGTATGTGGTTTTGTGTTGAATACACACATGTGGATCTTTGCCTGTGCAGCGGTGTTCTTCTCTTGTACTGTATCGCCTTGTGTAATACATGACAGAAACCTGCAGTTAAAATTATATTTCTCACACACTGAACCAGAATCCACACATATTATTTTGATGATGTTGGTTGTTTTTTGTTCTTCTGTTTACACTCACCATGTACTTCATTGTTTTTAGTACCTTTGAAATGTCTTCCTTGCTTGCTTATCTTTTTTGTTTCTTCTTCTTCTCCACTTCCTCTTTTACTGCTTTAGGTGTTGAGGGAAATATAAGGTTCTGCTTTCTTGCTCCTCTGGCCTCTTATACTATGTACACATTGTAGTATTGTAATCAGATATTTCCATCTTGTTTTTGGTCTATCTGGGGATCTACATCTTTTTCTTCTTGTGGTGTATGTCTGCATGGTAAAGTATAACAGTTCATTGTCTCTGAGTGAGTAAACCATTGTATTTGCAGTCTTTGTGTGTACTTCAGTATTGTTTTTGTGCAAATATTTTCTCTTGTGACTTCATTTCTGATTGTATTTCTTTTGATCACTCCTGCAGCTTTTCTTAAACATAATTACTAATTGTTTGTTCTAGGTTTATGCTGACCCTCCTTCTCTCCGTTATTCTTACTTCTTGTAAAACCAATTCTAACTCCATGGCTATGATTTTCCTACAGTTTTGTCACTTTTTGTCTAGCATTTACATCTGCACATAATAATACCATGTGCCCTACCAGTAAGCCTAGCTGGTTATGCTTTGCCATCTGTCATATGTGTGCTGTATTATGGAAGTGACATAAGACCAGACGAGCCTAGCAACAAGCCCCTGCAGCGGAGGATAATGACACAAATGGGCATCTCGTCCAGTCTCTAACATGACCCTCAGAATTCTTGATTTGTTCAGTGATATTATCCTGCCGTATCCATTTGGACGAGACATTCAAGTATTTAGTTCATTGTCTTTCTCTTTCTTTTTTTTTATCAGTTTTGCTGCTTGTCATCAAATTATCAACTCTTTTCTGTGTTTTAACATGTCCAAAAATATTAATTGTCTATTTCCTAATTTCTCTCATTTTTTTGGTTTCCTTCAATCTTGAGGAGGCTGGCCTCTCTTTTAAAATAGGAAATTCCCTGAGTGAGTGACCTTCAACCCCACCAGGACTGCACGACGGGCGATAAACACCTGATAGTTTACCTGGTGTGATACAAAGTGCCAGCAATCGGATAAGGATCATCCAGGGACAGGTCCCAGAAACCCTGTTCAGCCCATTGATTGGGATATTTTAGGGCCCCCGGAAACAGCCGGAGTGGGTTTTTAAAACAAGAAAAAAACTGCTTCCAAAAATGGGACACAGAAATAACTGAAGCTGATAAAATTCCCTGCTGAGATTTTGTGTTCCTCTCACTTCTGTTTCTGCTGCAAGTAGATGTTCTTAAACTTGTTTTTAATATCGCCAGCAAATTTAAACCCATACTTGACTTGTCACAGATGAAGTGGGCATCGCCACACGTTTGAAGCTCATCCACAACATGATCCTGGGCAACATCGTGGCCAGCTTGGCTGAAGCCATGGCCCTGGCAGAGAAGGTGGGGATAGATCTGGAAGATTTTTCAGAGGTTCTTTCCCTTGGTTCTATGGCTTGTCATGCAGTGAAACACAAAAGTCAAGGTTTGTGATGTCAGATGTTTAACCTAACCTATGACCAGATGTTTGGTCAGGGTATATATTTTCCTTGAGCCACTATCATCATCACATCATCATCGTGTGCCCTGCCAACTAGCATAGGCGCTCATGCATCTCCACAGATCACGATCCCTGGTTGCCTGGAACAGCTCTCTTGATGATATCCCTCCATGCCATCTTTTCAGCCCATCCAGCATCATCTCTCTTGGTCTGCCTCTATCCCTTTTTCCACTGATCTTTCCAGTTGTCACCTTGTTCTCTAGTGTCTTTCATGTCATTATGTGGCCAAAAAACAATGTTTGTCTCTTTCTTATTGTTGTATGTAGAGATCTACTTTCATTAGCATTGTTTCTTCTTCGCCACTTCCTCTTTTACTGCTTTAGATATTGAGGGAAATATAAGGTTCTGCTTTCTAGCTCTTCTGGCGACTTATACTATGTACACATTGTAGTGTTTTAATTGATATTTCCATCTTGTTCTTGGTCTACCTGGTGTAGATCTGCAAGTGTATCACATCACCATATATTCAATACCCAATGCTTATATTCAATGCTTTTCTATGTCACATATTGCTTGTAGTCTAGTCATCCATTCCTTTCAATATCAAGGGTAGAATCCAGTCCTGGGAAGGCTAACCCGATCAACAAATGCCGGCAGAAGTGGGATGTGTCGGTGGAAATATCGCAGCCATGCTGTAAACAGGCACAACATAATTACATCTTTGGATGAACAAAGAAGAAGAAGAATTCGGTCTAGGGCTCTGAGCTGTCACAAAGGGGTTCATCTTAAGGTATCTCCTGGACATCCTTGTTGCTTCAGTCCGTATGTTTCCTATTGCAGTGTCTGTTTAGTGATTTTGTATCCTCATCTCCTCATGATGTACTCGGTATATTGGCATCCTCTCTTTCTTATAACTGAGATTTCTCTTATTTCTTCGCCTTTCATGAATTTATCTCGTTTAACTTGTATCAGTTTCTTTAGGCATTTGTTGTCAGTCGCAAATAACTTTTGTTCCACGCCTTTTGTCTTCTTATTAGCATTCAGTAGCTGTAAACTGCAGCGGAAAGTTCTGGTTGTTCATCCACTTCTTGGCTTTGGTCTTGATCTAGAACTTGAGTTTTGTGTGCACATTTGTTTTACTGATCTGGTTCATTTGTACACAGACTGTTGGTTCCTTGCCCTTCATGCAGATGCACCCGGGCTTTGAAGGAATCAAGCTTATATAGTCACCTTCTGTGACAGGGCTATGCAACTGGGGGGGGGGAGGGGCAGATCTGTCCCACGAAGGCCTGACAAGCGTCCCACTGATCGTTGCCAGCTGTATCGTATTAATGATCTTTCTGTGCTTATACTCGGGCTTCCGGCCCGTGACAATCTCCATTTTAAAACATTTTGGCCAAACAAAAACTCAGTTAGTGCCTTTATTATACCACTTTTGTGGTGTTGGCAGGGGAGGGTCTTTGAGCCTGAGGATTTACGGCCGCATAGCTAGGGCTGTTGCCATGACTGTGCAGGTGAGGATTTTATTTTGCCCCTGGTAGAAAAAAAAAATAGCCAGCCTTACTGAGGATTCGAACCCGGGGCTCCCGCTTGAGATCTCAGCATTCTAACCTTTTGGCCAACCGCTCCTCAAACATCTAGGCACTTGAGTAATCTTAGCCGAATAGTGCTGTCATATGACATGCTTGTTGTTGGGGGTTGTGTGTGTTTATTTTCTCTAAAATATAGCCCCTAAAACCCTCACTAGGAATCTACTCCTGTAAATGTTATTTTCTTATGTGCTTCTAAATTCTCAGTCATTTTAAATGTTTTTTTTTTTTTAATTCTAAATCCCTCAAGCATTTGTAAAGTAAGTAAAGAACCCCACGGTTTTATAAACCAGTCAGGCACGATGTGTGAAGTCAACATCATGGTTACCAGCTGGTATCAAACAGTAAATATTTCTGTACTAACTTCTCACCGATTGGCTCTCTGCAAACATTACTTTCAAGTCTTATGTTATTGAAAGTACTAATCTGCTCTCTGTAAATGTTACTTCAATGTGTTATATTGATGAAAGCACCCATCTGCTCTCTGTAGATGTTACTTCCTTATGTTATATTGTAGAAAGCACCCATCTGCTTTCTTTAAATGTTACATTCATTTGCTGTGTTATTAAAAGAACCTTTCTGTGGTCTGTAAATGTTACTTTAATTTGTTGTGTTCTTGAAAGCACCTTTCTGCGGTCTGTAAATATTACTTTAATTTGTGTTGTTGAAAGCACCAATCTGCTCTTTCTCTGTAAATTTTACTTTCACGTGTTTATGTTATTGAAAGCCATCCTGTTTCTCTGCAGCCATTGTTGGTGGTCGGTATGAGCCTCACTTCCCCCTGCAGCACCAGCAGAAGGACCTGCGGCTCGTGTTAGGCCTGGGAGACAGCGTAGAACAGCCCTTGTACTTGGCAGCTGCTGCTAATGAGCTGTTCAAGAAAGCCCGGAGGATGGGCTTCGGGGAAGGAGATGTGGCTGCAGTTTTTAAAGCTGCAAGTGAGTGGGGATGTTTATCGTAGAACTTCTTCTGTTTTATCTTTATTTCCTTTTTATAGTTGGGGCATGTTGAGAGAATGATGGAGTGGTAAAAACTGCGTACACAAGAGAGTTGAGGGGTCGTAGACCATGGGGTAGACCAAGACGATAATGGAGAAATAATATCCAGACAGATCTACAAACACTTAGTGTCACCAACTGGAAAAAGAAGGCCAACCAGAGAGATGAATGGAGGCAGGTGATGCCTGCAGTAATGAATCTCAAAGGCTCAGAATGCAGAAGAAGAAGGATGGATGAAGAAGACCCCTGATTTCATCCCATATGCCTTAGTGTTGTTTGATGGAAGGGCTGTTGGAATCAGCACATATTTCAGTAGCTGTTGTGTTAATTTAAAAACCTGTTTCCAGGCTCTGTACCATGTTGAGCTGTACCATGTTGAGCTGTACCATGTTGAGTTGTACCATGTTGAGCTGTACCATGTTGAGCTAGAAACAGATTGAAATATACAGAAGCCATCCCCATGTGCATAGGTGTCTCTTTACTGTATAAACATCACTTTTTTTTTTTTTTTTTTTGTTGTTGCTTTGTTTGCATTCACTGGTTGTAAACCTCAGCAAAAAGTCCTGGTGGTTTGCCTATTTCTGGACTTTGACTTTATTCCTGGACCTGAGTTTTGCGTGTGTTGCATTTTACAGATGCACATTGCCTGTTTGTATGCAAACTGTTTGGTTCCCTGCCTGTCAAGCAGATGCACTTCAGTTTTGAAGGAAGACTCCAATTAGTCAACTCTTACGGCATGTTTGTTGGGGAGGCAGTGGGTCTATTCTTGACTTCTCCAGTGGGACCCTGGAACCCACACGGGGGGTGGGGTATAAACATAATGACGTGTTGATCAGTTTAAAACTACCATGATTTACTTACATTGAAACACTTACTTTGGATATTGTCTCCTTCAACTACATGGATTCATTGCTTTTTTTGTTGTATGTTGAATTAATTCCCTAGTAATCATCTGAAAAGATTCAGCAAAATCTTTTATGTGCCATGAAAACAAAACCGCAAAAATCTTAGTTAGTCTTTCCTCTTGTGTATAGGGCAGAGTTCATAGCTCTCCATGTCTGCGGTTCGTTGCCACCTGATTTAGGTCTTGGGTATTCAGTAGGCCCACAGTTGAGCCTACTCTGATGATGGTTCTATGCAATCTCTCTTGGCTTTCCTGTTTTCTTTTGCCTTCCGGGGAGAACAAAAAAATGTTCCATGCAGTAAATTGGGCAACTTGTCTCTTTATCCTTCAAAGCCCAGTAGAATCTTTACAAACAAACAAAAGTAATAATATTAAACTAGAGTAAAATAAAAGTAAAGGACCCTTTCCCACTCCTTTAGGAATGTTGGACATATAGGGCTAGACCTATATTTTATAGACTGTTTGGTACGTTGGGTGTTATGGTGACCATCTCGCCAGCCACTTTTACCTCCCAGGACTATACCTGGTACCCTCTGAAGACTGGGTCAACCTGAGAGCCAAGCTCAGTTGTTAAAACATTTTGGCACTGTCAGAACATGAACCCACAACCTCCCAATCTGCAGGCAAGCATCTAGCCACTACACCACAGAGGCTTCCTTATTTCCCCAACTGTCGTTCAATCTCATGTATTAGACGCACCGCGATTTTGAGACCAGAAATTTGGAGTGAAAAAAAAGTAATATGATTACATAAAGTTATTGAACTCGTGTTTTATTCATCATAGAATCCCAAAAACCTTATCACTGTCAAAACTCATCCATATAATAGTTCTTTAACTTGTCCTAACTCTGCCTAATGATAAATCACTATCTTCATATATTGTCTCATTTGTAGTTCTATCTGGCATTTTAAATGCCACACTTCTTGAATGATTTGACAGCAATCTCAGTCAGTAGCTTGTCCTTTGCAGAAGCTTGCTCCCATAACAACCTTCCGGAAAACTTCTTGATCACAAACAAGATGTCTGTGTCCGATACACCCATCTGGAGATCATCCACCACATCCTGCACCCATCTTCTCATTGGCCTTCCTCTTCCTTTCTTCCCAGGCATATACCCCTTCATTATTGTTCTCTCTAAACTTTCGTGATGTTTCAAGTGACCAAAATATTTCAATTTTCTTTGCTTTTTTTGTCTTTAATAGCCAGCTGTCTTTAGTATTTAGTTCTTGAAGTATGGATGCATATGTTCTTTTCTTCAGCCATGATATTTTTAGAATCTGTCTATAATATTTGTATTCAAAGGCGTTTATGCACTGTTCAGCTTGTCTCACTGGCCTATGTTGCAATGGGAAAGGTGCATAATCTTAGAAATCTAATTTTTGTAGTTCTATCTGTTCCACTCCATAATTTATTCAGTTGTTTTAGTCTTTGAAGAGCAATTGATAGTCGGTTAATTTCTTTCATTGTTTCACCATTGTTGGTTATCAGTGACCCCAGATATTTAGAATTGTCCACAACCTCCAATTTTTCCTTATTAACATATATTTCTTTCTCTATAGCAGTTTCATCTTTTTACGCATTATCTTTGTTTTCGCTATGTTGAGATAACAGTTGTGAATTTCACTATTTCTTTGGGTAGAGGTTATTAAATGTTCTACACCAGTCTATCGAATCTTTGGTATTTCATTACCGTTGATGGATATTTAGGGCATCATACTACTCTCTGACATTTCTCTTATTATATTCTCGGCGTACAGGTGAAACATATAAGGTGACAGCGCACAGCCCTGACAGTCTCCTTGCTTGATGTCAAATCAGTCTGATGTCTCGCCATCTATTCTAACCGCTGCTTGTTGATCTAGATAGAGCATTGTTATGAGGTGTTCAACATGTGATGGAAAGTCCATATTTCTCATGATTTCCCAAAGTTGCTGATATTGTACACACTAATGCCTTTGAATAATCCACAAAACATGAGAAAAGTTTTACATTAATTTATCTGGACTTCTCTATTATTAAATGCATGTTGAGGGTGTTATCTCTTGTTCTTCTTCCTTGTCTAAATCCAGCTTGACCTATGTTAATCTCTTCTTCCATTTTGTACAAAGTCTTCCCATTATTTTTAGTAGAATTTTACTTGCATGACTGATCAGAACAACAGATCTATAGTTGGTGAATAATTTCAGGTTGCCTTTTTTTTTTTGGGTATTGAAATGAAGATAGTTCTCTTCCATTCATTTGGCCACGTACCAAATGTCCATATCCTTTTACATAATGTGTGATAGAGTTGTATTCTTTCTTCCTGCCCCGCTTTAATTAGTTTAGCTGGTATCTTATCACATCCTGAGGATTTACCATTCTTCATGTTCTTTATTGCCCCTGCAATTTTGGGGCAGTAATCTCAGTCTTCACATTATCCTTTTCACCCAGGTACAAACTTCTCCTGTAGATAGTTTCTTCACTCCACCTGCTGATGTCAAATTGTCCCTATAAGTCTTCATCCACTGGTTCCATTTGACTCTTGTGGCAACATTTTTTTTTCTTCGCTCTCTTAACTGGCATTCCCAAATGATAAAATATAACCAGATTGTGACCGGTACCATCAGTATTGGAAATCTGCGCTGGCTGGCTGCTGAAGATGAGGGCAGAGCACACATGGGAATGCCTCGAGTGCTGTGATGTCAAGTCTTGACTCAACTCAGCTGAACTCCCAAATGAGGCTGTGTAGGAGATATTTGTTGTGGAAGAGAATAAACTCAGTGCTCTTTAACATTCATGCTTGAAACGGAGATTTAATTGTTTTCTGAAACCGGGTGTTGAGTCAAAAAACAAAGATATTGCAGCCTAGCTGTAAACCACAACATACACTCCCAGCTATCCTGATAAAGGTGACCACAGAGGATAAAGATCTTTGTTTTCACCTTGTCTTGTTCATCTTACTCTTCTTCTTGGCGCTTGTTTTGTATGCTTAGGTCAGATTGCATGTGGGCTGTTACTGGGAATTGAGATGTCAGTTGTAGTTCCTCCATCGTTACCCATTGCTAGCTGTTCTTGAGGCCAGGTTTATTGCTATCTTCACATTATGAACTTTTGTTTCAGATGAGTTCGGAGTTGGCGAACCTCGAGATTCTTCAGGAAAGAACGACAGCAGCTTCAAGTAGATTCATACAGAGACATGGCTTCCTGATCCATTTCAGACCCTGGTTTAAACTTTTAAGTGTAGCTTTATGGATAGAGATCATGATTGTATTGTGTTTTATGTATCCATGATTGTTTTCTTTTACATTGATTGAATTGAGAATTGACATCACAGCTCACAGAGCATAAGCATAGGTGCTTAGTCTCTTGCAACCACTGTTGCATCTTCACACTAGGAAGCACATCATATTCTTCCTCTCATATATACCTCCTTGTTTGAACCAGACTGTACACTCTTGATTGATTTTTTCAGATGGCCACATTCAGCCTAGGGCCAGAAAAGGCAGCTCTTCGCCCTATTAGGTTATATTTGTGGTAATAGATCCTGTTGTTGTTTTATCAGGTTTTGTATCTATAACCTCTGATAGATACATCCTTAAATATGTTTCATCTTCAGCTGTTTTGTATTAGCAATTCCAGAACTATAGAAGTTTCAGTGAATCAAGAGGTTAAAAAGATGCTGGTTTTGGCTAAGATACACGTTGAGAAAACCTGAGAACAGTATAGCTAGAATGTCTTTACACTGGAACCCACAGGGTCGCAGGAAAAAGACCAGCCAAAGAAGACATGGAGAAGGGAGCTAGAGAATGAAGTTGAAATGATGGGGAGGACATGAGGTGAGCTGCCTGCAAATTGAAGGATTGAACAACTTGGCCTGAGTTGGTCGAGGGCCTATGCTGCTATTGCGAGATAAAGGGAGAAGAAGAAGATGAATTCCAAAAATTAGAAAAGGGCTGCCTAGTTTTTTGTTTCCAATGTTTTTACAAATGAATTGGTTAGGACAAATGCTGTAATTTAAATTAGTGGTTCTCAACCTTCTTAATGTGGTGACCCTTTAATACAGTCAGTTGCTCATGTTGTGGCGACCCCCCAACCATACAATTTGTTTGTCATTGCTACTTCATAACTTCTGTGAATATATGTTTTTTGATGGTCTTTGGCCACCCCTGTGAAAGGGTCATTTAACCCCCAGGTTGAGAACCGCAACTAAGAACAGTTTGGGAAACACTGTTATGTGGTGGCTAGACGCTCGCCTGTAGATCTGAAGGTCGTGGTTACGGTCCTAAAGGAACCAGACTTTTTTTTAAATGGCCTTGACTCCCAGGTCGATCCAGCCTTAAATGGGTACCATAATGCAATTTTGTTAAAATAAATATATTCATAACTCGACCTCTGAAATGCATTGCAGGCTCAGTGGCAACAACTAATCTTCTCCAGTACACGTCACTGTAGCACAGTGGCTCTCAAACTTTCTGATGCTGCGACCCTTCAGTACAGTTCCCTCATGTTGTGACGACTGCCAAACAATTATTTTTCTTCAAAACTTCAATGAGTTTGTATTTTCCAATTTCTTAAACGATCCCTGTTAAAGGGTCATTCGACCCCAAAAAGGATCGCGATCGACAGGTTGAGAACTTCTGCTCTAGCAAGTTGGTGACGTGATATTTACAGGGAATGGGACTGGACTGTTAATCTCTGGGGGCAGCAGAGTTAAATTAGATGTGATCTTAATATAGTGCAGTGGTATTTTGCTGAACCTTACAACTCCATATATAACAAATAGTCTTCTGCACATTTGTCGTCCTTTTCCAAGGGATTAAACAAACCATAAAACGAGGACAACCTAACGTCCTAGATATTAACTTCATGTTTCTTCATAGTATTTGAAAATAAACAGGACGATGGCATTTTAACTCTTTTCGCCCCATGAATGCTTGTTAGTGGGTCATGAACCCACAGGGATTTCTGAATTTAAAAAATCCTGAAAAAAAAAACAACCATGTTACACAGGTCAGTTAAAATTGTTTTCAATTATTTATTTATACATGGATATCTACATTTATGTTTTTCGTTAAATCTATAAGGATATATAAAGGGAATAATTAGTAAACACAAACAGTGAAGCACTAAATGGATTAGATTCCCCAGGGCGTAAAACAGTGTATGGGGTAACTCATGCCGTGACCTGTCAGTGTGGCTTTGAAGACAATTTGACATCAGTTTAGCGGCCGTGTTCACGTCTCCCGGCCCATCTACACGCTTTCTCAGTTTGGCCTGGGTCAGAGGGGTGTCACGTTGTACTGGTTTCTGCGAAAAGTCTCCCGTGGGACCTAGGCTCAAGCTATAGGTGGGAGGGGGGGGGTTTAGGTTAGGGTCAGTTCTAGATGTTCTGGGGTCGTTAAAAGCTGTGTCGTCATGTAGTATATAAAACAGGCAACATTGGTGCTGATGTAATTGGAAGCAAGACAGCGTGACACCCCTCTGACGGAGAATGAAAGATTAGACAAGTGTCTAGATGTGCCGGAAACACGAATAGGACTAATCTGGCTTTCAAAAAGCCATTGGAGTTGTAATTACCCACCTCCAATGCTATTTTTAGTTACTTACTAAAATTCTGGCCTATAAAACACCGCACAGACTCACATAGGAGTAACAGAATTAAACTAGGCCTTTAGAGAACAGGTCACCACAAGTATGGCCATATATTAGCATTTATGGGATGGTATCACAAAGAAAGTGACAAGATGTAGCCTTTTTGTGGCGATAGGGATGATCCTCAACTTCAGATTCTGACTAACTGACCTAGCATTTGAATTATAATTTGATCAAATCATTTCTTTGAAATTGATTTTCTGTATTCAAAATTTACTAGATTATATTGCTTTTTTTTTTTTTTAAGTAGCCTTATCATTGTTAAGTGTTGCATTTGAATGTTTTTATGAATATTATTTCTCAGTAATTTCTAAACTTGTAGATATCAGAAGAATGTAAAGTTTATGTTTTTAGTAAAAGAACAGGAATGCTGTACGATATTTTTTTTTGCATGTGTTTTTCTATGTTTAGTTATAATAACCAACGACAGTAATACATTTTTTTTTTAAACAAAGAGCTTGCGTGCGTTTGTGTTGTTTTCTATATCTGTCAGCATCCACATGTGGGTTTTGGGGGAAACAAACATAGACCCACAGCCCCCAACACGCCTCACAAGTTGAAAGTTGGAGTGCATCCCTTTTCACGCTTTTAGGCGCACCGGGTATATGGGAAGAGCACCCATATTTTTACAGACCAAACAGCACTAGGTGGGTAATGTGGTCAGCATTACGCCTGCCGTCTTTACTTCCCCATCCTGGTACCCAATTTAGGCTGGGTCGACCTGTGACGCCCCATACCACGAAAAAAATCTACGCAGCCAGCAGTGGGTTTCGATCGCGGTACGTTGGAATTACGAGTCGGACTCTTAGCGCAGATAGATCAGGCACATTTTAGAATTGATCTGAACACAAAACCCAGGGAGATGCTATGATGTAGGGGCTAGAGACTCACTGCGAATCCGAAGATAGTGGGTTCCAATCTGAACGGAGCCTGACTTTTTTTTTTTTTTTCAAATGACCTCGGCTTCCAGGTTGACCCAGCCTTAAAAAAGATCCCAATTAAAGTTCTGGCAAGTGAACGCAGCCGATGTGATATTTATTAAAGAACCCAGCTCATGCTGATTGGTCTATGAAATATCGGTCTAGTAGCCCTATATGCCCAATACACCTTGAAGGCAATGACAAGAGTCATTTACTTTGCGCAAAACGCATGTTCTGAAACAAGACCAAAGTCCAGAAGTAGACGAACACCCAGAACTTTCCGTTGGAGTTGACAGTCGGTGAAAGCTAAGAAGGTTACAGCCAAAAGCGTAGCCATCACAGCCAGTTGCTTCCACACCTCTAAACGCCAAGAGGATCACCTTCCCCCAGCCGCCAAAACTCTCAACGAAACACATGCAAACAAACGCAGAGGCAGTGATTCTCAACCTCTGTCTTATGGTGACCCCTACAAAACCTTTTCAGGACTTGAAGTAGAGATGATCGACTTCATCGCGAGGGGCATATCCCTATATGTTAAGTCTTTTTCTGTAGAACGGCGCGAGCTGCAGCGGCAGATGAAAATAGAGTGAAGCAGTTGCTGCATTAGCAGCCACAAAGATGGCTCTTAATTTATGTTTCCTTTGATCAAATGATGTCCCCCAAGTCAGTCGACCGCCCACTTGATAGATAAGTATAAGAATAATTTCCTCTTATCCGAATGTCACGGTCTTGCTAGAAATGCACCATACTCCTTTTGAATTATGGTAGTAGTAGTACATTTTACCCCACTAGAACATCACACAAGCGATAGACACCCGATGACACAAAGTGCCACCATGTGGATGAGGATCACCCGTGGAGAGGTCCCAGAAACCGCGTTCAGCCATTAGACCATATTTATGGTCGGGCTATATTACAGTCCCCTGCAAGAGCCAGGGTGGGGCTTCAAAATAACGAAAAATGGCATCCCACAGGGAGATGACTAGTGTTGATTACCTATTATCGTGGCGGCTTCAAGTCCATGTTGAGAACCAATGGTCTGGAATACACGGTGAGGACACGATATTTACCTAAGAAAAAAACATCCCTTTTTTTTTTTTTTGTAAAGAGAGGGAGAGACGTTTAGGGACCTAAACGTGCCTCCGTGCAATGCTTCTGTGTTGGCGTGCCCCGGATTCACTTGTCTGTCACCTGACGCTCTAGAAACTCCCACCTTTTGTGACGAAATTTACCTGCCAAAAATCGCCAGATTCGAACCTGTTAAGGAATAAAGGTGATTTCATGAAACGACAGTAGGTCTGTGATTTTACCGTCGCAATTTCTCAATACTTTGAACAGAATAACCGGAAAGGTTAGGAGATACAAAATAAAAAACACCGTCAAATTAAATTCATACCTTTGTGTTACGAAAACTTTAACTGTGGACTTCAAACCAAAAACAAAAAAAAACATGGGTGAGTACTTTGAAATTCGTTGCATTTTCTCGCACATTTTACTGCAGCTGCTGCTCCACCACTACTACTACTACTGCTGCTGCTGCTGCTGCTGCTGCTGCTACTACTACTACTACTACTACTACTACTACTACTACTACTACTACTACAAATACTACCACCGCCACCACCACCCACTACCCTATATAGGCGAAGTGCAGCTGCACAGAGCGACGAAATATATAAATAGATGCTTAAAAAAACTGTCAATAGCTATTGCCCGAGAGGCGAGTAGTCAACAGACAGCATACAGATACGTCAGATCGGTAAAACGGATGTGCACTGCGGGAAGAGTACCAAAGTCCAGATGTGAACGAACGACCAACACTTTTCTGCCGGTGTTTACAGCCGGAGCACGCAAAGAAGTCGATTGCTTTTATCATTCTCAAGTGTCGTCTTGTATCGCACACAATTGTTCCGTTAGGACTCCAACTTGTACAGTAATTGTTATCTGTTGTGTACTCACTGAAGTTTAACTAATTCAGTGCATTTTAAAACTGAAGTAATTAATTCCACACTTTTTGTTGGTAGTTTGCAAACGACTAACGATAGAAGTAAAGGATCCTTTTCCACGCCATCGGGCGGATTGGGCATATAGGGCTAGACCTATATTTTATAGACGAAACGGAACTTGGTGGGTGATGTGGTCAGCATCACGCCGGCCGCCTTTACTACCCAGGACTGTACCTGGTACACACTCAAGGCTGGGTCCAAGGTCATTTTTGAATAAAAGTTTGGTCTCTATCAGGAGCCAACCCCACCACCTTCCGATCCGCAGGCGAGCGTCTAGCCGCTTGACCACGGCGCCTCCCAAACTAGCGATGCTGAAGTTAATTGGAAAGGAAAATGGGGCGGGGGGAAAAAACATGATTTCACAGGGGCGGGAGACCGGAGTTCTATCCTTGGTAAGGAATGGGCATTTTTTTTTTTTTTTTTTCGATCTGGGGCAAAAATAAAAATCCTGACCTGCACAGTCCGTGGCGACAGCACTGGCAATAGGGCAAAAAAAAAAAAAAAAAAAAAACTCTGGCTCGTGATATCTCCGTCCTATTATTTCTGCCTGAGTTAACAATTTCTGCAGTTTAGACGGGAAAAAAGAGGAAGGGGTGTCATTAAGCCTGAGGATTGGGGCTGCGTGGCTAGCGCTGTCGCCACAGACTGTGCAGGTCATGCTTTTATTCACCCCCCCTCCCCCCCCCCCCCCCCCCCCCCCCCCCCCCCCCCCCCCCCCCCCCCCCCCCAAAAAAAAAAACCGACTCAACAACCTTGCCAGGGATTCGAACCTTGGTCTTCCGAATTAGAGCGCTGCATACTTGACTGTTTTGGCCAGCCGCTACTCAACACGGCAATAAAGTGGTAAATCGTCGTCTCAAAATCCATGACGTGTGGCGTTGGTAGTCATGTCTATCCACAACCTTCTGTCTCGTGTACTTTCAATCAACTCCAACACAGTGAGGTAAATAGGGGCTGTAAAATCAGGTCTGTTTCCCTTTGCAGAATCAATCTGTACTGTAGTCGTCTTCACGCTGTGTCTCACCGGCCGGTGTGTGAGTCAGGGTTTGAGTTCGACGCCAGCAACGACCACAACGACACCAGAAATGTCAACAACAAACGCAACAACGACAACAACAACAACGGTTCAGAATCACACGGGAGTGACAATCAAAGGTCAGTGTATGGTTTTCGTTATTAATTCATTCAAGAGATCAACGGCGCCAACATAAAGAAAACAGTGGGCTCTCAGTCCGTTACAAGTTATTCTGGAAAAGAAGAAGGTCTTGAATGTATCTAAGTCTTTCTTAAGTGTATAATAATAATATATTTATTGTTATTATTTGCTGAATGAAAATTAAATATAATGTAGTGTCTATTTCTGGGGTAATTATGGACATGTAATTTTCTCTTTAGTGCATGAAAGCCTGACATATGACACCACAGTATCTAGCATGAGAATGGAGGTGAAGGCGGTAACTGCAGCTCTTCGGTGGCTAGAGAACTAGATGCATACACATGTCGTAACTATAACAGACTCTGAAAGCATGCTGAGAAAGGTGAAGACAGGGATGTTTCGAGCAGAGTGGCAAGCTTCACTGGAAAGGTCAAGGGTAGTGAGAATGCTTTGGATCTTTTCTCCAGGCCAAGCCGTCTAAGTGGGTAATGAACAGGCAGACAGATTGGCTGGCTGGACCTGCGCCACAAAATGGTGAATTGATACATGACATGGCAGATATGGTCAAGGCATTTTGGGAACAAGCAACGGAATCAGTAGAGACAAAAAAAATTATCATGGCCTAGAGAGAATGAGGCACCTGTGTGTAACCAGAGGGTCTGGTCGGCTCACTACACTCAGAGGAAAGGCAAGACGGACATATAACCAGCTAGATGCTGAAGATGAGGACGGAGCATGCACGGGAATGCCCCGAGTGTGTGATGTCAATTCTTGACTGAACTCACCAAGTCAACTCTCCACGGCGCTCTGGAAAAAAACGGTGATGGACGGTACAGTTTCCGGAAAACGAGGCTGAGGCCGACCTCTACGAACGTGGATACAAGACACTGAAGGTGTATTTGCTATAAAAGCATATGGGGCTCGAGAATAGACTGGAGAAAGAGAGACTTTAAGGCTTGCTATGAAGTGCTGATGCTCGAGAGGCAGGAGACCTCGTTCAGCCAGCGGCTGATGTACGGTATATGTGCTCAGCAGCACGTGTTCGAGTAATGCGTGGGGACGAACGGTTAGTCTAGCTCGCTGATGAGGATAATAGTGGTACGTTTTCTAAAGTCAGCCCTGAATTTGTCTCTAGTAGTTGAACTGTATAGAGATATATCAGTGTGTATCATCGCTCGGAGATGTTTCATTTTATTAGTGAAGTGCTTGGCACGTCCGTTGTGTAAAAGATCTGCTGATTTAATTGATTGATTGATTGATTGATTGATTCATTGATTGATTGATTGATTGATTGATTGATTGATTGATTGATTGATTGATTGATTGATTGATTGATTGAGTGTCTATTCGAAGAAAGACAGAAAAAATATGTCAATACCTGAAAAAGAAAAAAAAAAGAGCTATACATGGTTGGAGATGACTGAGGAACTCGAGAGGCATAAGCACTCAGGTTTGAGGGTCCCTGAAACACTGTTTCACTGTAGTTCAGTGACAGGATCTCACAGAAATACCCATACACTGTCTTCTCGAGCTTGTTGATTTATATTTAGATTTATATAGAACGGAACAATTCTAGTTTGTTTTGGTGTACCCACGGGATGACCGTACACACCTAAAAAAAAAACGGGACAGTCTTGGGGGAAACGGGACATATGGTTAACCTGACTTTCAGGCATTTCGGGCAGGGGAATAATGACAACTCAAACAATAACTATGAAGCTAACGGAGGGACATGACTTTTTAAACAAAAAAGGGGGCAGGGCGGGGGGGGGGGGATAAGAATACTAACCTGCACATTTAGTGGCAACTGTAATTGCAATGTGACTATAAATCCTAGACTCCTCCTACTAGACAATTGCAAGGTGACTATAAATCCTGGACTCCTCCTACCAGACAATTGCAATGTGACTATAAATCCTGGGCTCCTCCTCCCAGACAATTGCAATGTGACTATAAATCCTGGACTCCTCCTCCCAGGCAATTGCAATGTGACTATAAATCCTGGACTCCTCCTCCCAGGCAATTGCAATGTGACTATAAATCCTGGACTCCTCCTCCCAGGCAATTGCAATGTGACTATAAATCCTGGACTCCTCCTCCCAGGCAATTGCAATGTGATTATAAATCCTTGGCTCCTCCTACCAGACAGCCATTACCTGTGATAAAAAAGGACCTTCTTCCACGCCTTTAGGCGTATAGGGCATATAAGGCTAGACCTATACTTTATTGACCAATCTTCACAAGATGGGTGATGTGGTCAGCATCACGCCGGGCTCCTCCACTTCCCGGGACTGCACCCGGTACCCACTCAAGGCTGGGTCGACTTGGGAGCCAAAGTCGTTTTAAAAAAAAAAAACCGGGAGCGAACCCACGACCTTCCGATCCGCGGCTAGCGTCTAGCCGCTCGGCCACGGCGACTATAACCAGCGATACTTAGAGATAGTAACACCAGTTTTTTAACATTGTCTCTTTTGATGATGGTTCTTGGTGAATACTGAAGATACTAACTGTTTGATACTGACCACACACAAAAACTATTGATTTCTTAGGGATACCAATGAACATCAGTATAACTGGGTCGAAAGGCGCAGAAATCGCTAGCTAACTGTAAATCACAACACGGTGTGTCAACAGTCAGTCCTTATATGGGCGAAAGCAGAAAAAGAAAAAGGAGAAGGAGGAGGAAAATGAGGAGGAGGAGGAGGAGGAGAAGAAGAAGAAAAAGAAGAAGAAGAAGAAGAAAACTTATCTCCTTTTGATGTTTGCAATAAGCTCTCTTCCTATTTGCTGCTGCTGCTGCTGCTGCTTTTACCTTTAAAATTGCGGTTGGTACGTTCTGTTGTGGTTTTCAGCAAGGCTGCGATTACTGGTCCTTTAGGCTAACACATCCCTTTTCAGCAGACCATAAATTAGTCACTTTTTACATTTTGCATGTGGTGGCTACGTGATCTCGAGGCATGGTGTCCGCCTCGAGTGCTGGAGGTTCTGGGTTCAATCCCCGGTACGGGTTGGGATTTTTTCCTGTGAACTTAGACTTCTAGTAATTTCCCCTTGTCTCTGGGGAGTGAGATTGGACGCCCGTGTGCATTGTTTGCCAACGTAAAAAAATCCCTTGGCAATTGAAAAAGAGTAGCCTAACGACTCTGCCAGGGCAAAATTTTGAGTTTAAAATCTACCAAAAGTATTTCAGGATCCTCGCTGGTGCTGCAAAGCCTGTGCACTGTGCTGAGCTTCATCGGACTCAGACTTGAGTTAGAAGAAAAACGGAGCACTTATGGGTTACTACCCGTGTATCATAATGTTGATCCGTTGTTCAAACTTTAAGCTTCAAACTTCTAAGACGGAACAACTCACGAAGTCAGACCCAGAAAGAGAGTGACTTATCCTGCCATTTATCCCTAGTCGTGTCGTAGGGCCTGTTCTATGTTGCGGGGGTGTCATGCTTAGTGAGTGTCCAGCAACACAAAGGATTTTACGCGTGAGTTAATGAGTTTACCTCCAAAACAATTTGACAATTTGAGAATAACTGTCGTAGAAGAATACTAAGTCTACACTGAGCAGGTTTCAGATCCAGTACGCAAATAAGACAAGAGACTAAGCAAAATAATGTATCAAGTTTTATAAGAAAGCGCCATTGGAACTACATCGGCCATGCACTCAGAATGGGAAAGACGAGACTCTCCAATCGAGCTCAAGCCCTCAGTGAAAAGAAAACTGGGAAGAAAAAGAGAGACTGTGTAGAACCATCATCAGGGAAGGCTCAACCATGGGCCTTACAAACATCCAAGACCTAAAACAGGTGGCAGCGAACCGCCAGACTTGGAGAGCTATGACCTCTGTCCCTAGGCTAAAGAGGAACGACTAAATAAATAACTAATTCGGGTCGCTGAAAGCACACTGGGAATCTTGATTGCATTTTCTTCTTTGTTCAAATATTGCAGTCGTTTACAGCCATTAGTTAAACTCAAATTCCTTTTTTTTTTAAATTATATCTATTGAACAGATAGATTTGAAAGCACTACAGGACAAAATGAGCTACACGAATAACTGGGAAAGAATGAGCTGAAGTATCGGCGTATTAAAAAAAGCATTTCACGCTAGGATTAGGCACTAAATGCATAGTCAGTTGCTTGGTAATCAAAGAGTTAAAGAACTTTTCTTGATCAGCAAGTTCCCCAAATGGGTTCGCAGTACCTCCTATGGGCAGACCAGCTGTAAAACACGACATATCGCACCGACCGCTCTAAGAAAAGGAGGAGCACTGAACAAGTTAACATTTATTTTCCAGCGAGTACATTTGCTCCTGGGGTGACATCCAGCAGTGGGGTGAGTGTTGCAGATACAGCTAGTACCGCTCCAGGGACAAATGTAACGTCAGCGCCACCCTTGTGGACAAAGTGCACATCTGGGGTCAGTATGGAAGATGTCGGAAATGACAACATCGCCAAAGTTCTCCATGGCTGGTGCGAGTAAGTGAAGTTGTTTGTTAGTCGTTTTGGGTGTACAGTTGTTTGTTAGTCGTTTTGGATGTGCAGTTGTTTGTTAGTCGTTTTGGGTGTGCAGTTGTTTGTTAGTCGTTTTGGATGTACAGTTGTTTGTTAGTCGTTTTGGATGTGCAGTTGCATTTTAGTTGTAGCTGCTGGTTAGATGATTAGAATGCGGGACTGTCAGGCGGGAGACCAGTGTGGAATCCAAGTGAAAGTGACAAGAGATTTGTTTCTGTCGGGCGTACGCGTGCGCATACACACTCACATAATAAATCTCAATTTGCACTAAGCAAATGGGGTAAGGGGAACAACGTACACTTGCAAAACAAACAGACGTTTCGACCGGAGCCTTTCTCTACACAATACACAACAGCAGCGAGGGGCAGAGTATAATGGCAACTGATGCACACAATTAAAGGGGAGAGTTTTTTTTTTTTTTTTGGTCCCCTGTAAAAAGATAACATATAGGAAGAGAACAGGGTTTGGGAGGAATCCTGAGAATTGACGATAACAGGAAATGACGTCAACGTCTCCCCGTGTAGATTTCGGGCCCCTGTTATGAGGGAAAGGCACACCGCCCCCCCCCCCCCCATAAAAAAAACATTATTATTGAATGAAACCTGTTAGTCCCTATGCAATTTTTGTGGGGAGGTTAAGGGGGAGGGGGCTCAAAGGCACCGAGTCTATAGATTCCGGCGCCTTTGGCTCCTTATACCTGGAAAGTTGAGCCTAAAAACAGTCGAAAGCCGTGAAAAGAAAACAACGATCTCGACAAAGAACATTTATGAAAACGAACTAAAGAGAAAAGCAGAAGAAAAACTCCCCACAGAGACTCAGTGTTTGTCTTTCTCGGGGAGGGGACAAGGCCTCTTGAAATAACACACATAACATACTGGCACAGGCGAGGCCAGGGTTTCAAGGTCACATTTAAACAAGTTTTTGGGGGGAATAGTTTCTTTTTCTTCTTCTTCTTGGAATAGCCCGCTGACAATTGGGGAGGGGTATGGAAGATGTTTTTTCCCTCACTTATCCTGGTATTGATTTCTTGATCCAGTGATAGTTTGTGATTCACTGTGGATCCTAGATGGGTAAAATGTCAACTGTATAACAATGGCGAGGTATGATCAGTTCGCACGTTTGCGCGTTAGCAGGTAACGATTACGCTGGATAGGAAATCACGTGATATTGTTTCCCTCAAAGCTTAGCCGTTAAGAGTATGCGTGCGCAACTACCATCGTAGTTATAGTAATTGGTAGCTTTCACACGTTACTGTTTCTGCCTGAGTAGCTTGAGCTTGCAGCGAGCTTTCTTTTCGCTTTGTTCGAGACGTAAAGCCAGTGACGTATTTGTAATAAATAGTAAACCTTGATAATAAATAGTTTTACCATGATAATAAATAGTAAACCTTGATATTGAATAGTAAACCTTGATAATAAATAGTAAACCTTGATAATAAATAGTAAACCATGATAATAAATAGTAATCCTTAATAATAAATAGTAAACCTTGATAATAAATTAGTAAACCTTGATAATAAATAGTAAGCTTTGATAATAAAAAGTAAACCTTGATAATAAATAGTAAACCGCGATAATAAATAGCGAACCTTGATAATAAAAAGTTAACCTCGATAATAAATAGTTAACCGTGATAATAGATAGTAAACCTTGATAATAAATAGTTAACCGTGATACTAGATAGTAAACCTTGATAATAAATAGTTAAATGTGATAATAGATAGGAGACCTTAATAATAAGTAGTAAACCTTGATAATAAATAGTAGACCTTGATAATAAATAGTAAACCGTGATAATAAGTAGTAAACCGTGATAATAAATAGTTAACCGTGATAATAAATAGTAAACCTTGATAATAAATAGTAAACCTTGATAATAAATAGTAAACTTTGATAATAAATAGTAAACCATAATAATAAATAGTCATCATCGTCATCATCATAAACCAATTTTGCCGTTAAGCCCCGTGGGGAGGAATAGTTTGCGATCCAGTGCACGTTGGCTGCCACTGGCTATTGTCATGCCGTGAAGGCGTAGAGTGTCTTTAATGTTGTCGATCCATGTTTTCAGCAGCCGTCCTCTTGCTCTTGTAGCTGATCTTCTGAGATGTAGTGCTTGTCATGGTATTTGATCTTGCTGCATTCTAACGAGATGGCCAAACAATTTGATCTGCTGTTTCTCAATGAATCTATTACAAGGTGTCGTTCCCACAATTTGCCTGAAAGTTTCATTATTCACTGGATCTCAGATGGTTAGGTTGGCTGCTTTTCTCAGGCACCTCATCTCGCAGGTGGTGATTTTGCGTTAAATTGGCTTTAGATAGTGTCCATGTTTGGCGCTTGTAGCTTAATGTTGGAATGAATATGCTATTAATAATCTGTCTCCTTGCACTCATAGTTATGCTTGGATGTCTTAATAATGGTGACAATTGGTATATAAGTACACTTGCTTTCTGACATCTGGTTTCTATTTCTCTGTCAATTCTACCATCTTCTGTGATCATACTTCCTAGATATTTAAACTCCCTAACTTGATTCAGGGCAGAACCATTCAGCTGTATGTGTAGTGGGGCAGGGGTTCTACTAACTTGATAAAAATAGTAAACCTTGATAATAAATAGTAAACCTTGATAATAAATAGTAAACCGTAATAATAAATAGTAAACCGTAATAATAATCAATATTAAAATGCTGCATTTTCTTTAGTAATGAAAAGTGTAAGCGACGGTTACAGGCAGAGCCACTGGTAAAATTGTATTAGGGCACCCCAGGGCAGGATTAAGACCCTATGATGCCATAAACACTTAAAATATATTGCCCCACCCCACCCCTGAACTGCCTTAACAGCATTATGGGCCCCTGGGCAAACCAGTGCTGCGACCCTGACTCACAGGAATGAAATGTAAATCGTCACTTGACATACACAGATTATCATGGAACCCCTACGCTGCTGGGACCCCAAGCAAGTGCCAAGAGGGCCCATGTGTTAGGACGGCACTAGTGCACCCATAAATGTAATTCAATATATATAAACAATAATAAACCATAAAAAATTGCATTGATCAAAACAAAACAGTTAGATGGAAAATAATGTCACTTTTTATACTTCCAATTTATTTTTATATGACAAGTTTCCTCAAACTATTCTTATGTAACACATCCGCTTCTTTACTTAATAGAGATACGACATGAAGCCTGCCTTTTTGCATGTTGTTTAGATCTGGGCCGAAGAAAATGCAGTGCAATATTAACGTGTGATAAATACGAATATCTTCAAGGTGGAGTCTCTGTACCATATAACTGTTAAAGATTACATTCTTGATGTTTAGCTATCGTTGAATATTGATTTTTCTGTGGTGTGTCCTTAGGACACACGACTACATTATAGATTCATTAATTTAATTGTTTAAATTTGTAAAGAGAAATGTCTGGACAACCACTAGTATCAACAACTATAAAACAAAGAAGATGGCGATATACTGAGTTACCGATTCCTGCGCGAGAAGATTCATAAAACGTCTTGCAAATTAATTAAACTGTAGTTTACTTTGTGTGTACATCTCCTTGATAAAAAAAACTGTGAACAAAGATCAGCCTCTCGACTTGCACAAGAACGGGAATCCCCGTTGACCTAGTTGGCCTATGAATACAGTCGGGCGTACTGGGTACATGCCGAGAATAAGTAAACAGAGAATCACCAGACAGGCACACAAATGGGAACCAAGTGGATTAGGGTCACCAAAAGTGTCGGACTGGATTCCATCCATGATATTGAGACACTTGCGCTGGATAAAACCGAACTGAAGTATAGACTGCAAACCCGTTGTGTCGTATAGTTTGTTCCTTGTCTTTTACAGGACTTTAAAGAACCAACCCTAACATATCTTGGCTGTTGTGGTTTTTTTTCTCTAGGCAAATGTTAAGTTCAATAGTTTGCCATTCAGCAGTTTGCCATTCGAACCCAGTACCTCGACATTACGAAGCGCGTTCGAGACGCAAAACAACAGACGCCGACGTGTGTCATCTAACCAGGTTTTTTTTTTTCCTGGTGGTACGCGGTATTAGCAGATTTTTTTTGGTATCATTTCTTTTAACACAACTGTAAAAATAATTTTTGTAGTGGGTACCGGCACCTTTTTAGACACCTTCAGGTGAGTCCACGCACCTTCGTTTCTAGAAAAACAAGAAAAAAAGAAGCCCTCCGTATAAAAGCACAAAAAGCCGATTCTGATGATGAATGTATTTTCTTGTCTTCTTCTTCGCGTTCACTGGCTGTAAACTCCTGCGGAAAGATCTGGTTGTTCGTCCACTTCTGGGTTTTTAGTATTTTTTCCAGAACCTGAGTGTTGCATGTGCATCCGTTTTACAGGTGTTACTCATTTGCATGCAGCTGTTGGTTCCTTGCCTCTCAGGCAGATGCACTCCTGCTTCGAAGGAAGCTCCCAATTAGTCTACTCTTACGACATGCTTTTGGGTAGGCAGTGGGTCTATTCTTGTTTTCCTTACAAAAGGGCCCCAGAACCCACACGGGGAGTCTTTAAAAATCTGTATTGTAAATGAATTTTATATTTCACACCATACACCGAGTCCCTCACACACTCTTTCTCTCCTAAAGACAAAACGATCAACAACACAACATGAAACCCCGTGTCACCGCGGAATGCCCAAATACGGTTTATTTAAGAAAGTCATTCCAAGCGAAGCGCCTACAGCGAGCATCAATATTGACTGACTGGCACAAGCTGCAACCTAACATTCACTTGTCGCTCCAGTTTGCTGAATTTCCCGTCAGCCGGCCTGTGACTCCCGCTTGTTTGGTCGGTCCTGGTTGCTGCAAAAATGTTAGTTATTTTTTTTTTTTTTGGGGGGGGGGGGGGGGGGGGCAATTAGGGCTTTTGAAATAGCCTGAGAAATAAACTGACAGGTTTTGGGGCAATCATCATCATTATTATTATCATCAACACA